GTACTTCAAAGGTTACTAGCTTTTGGGGGTCTCTGTCTAAACTCAGCTAGTGAAGACAATGAATGGACTCCGGCACCCTACTAGTAGAAGCTGTTTTAAAGAAAATAAAGAATAACTTGCAGGATAATATTCCCCATTAGTAAGAAAATGATAGTAAATAATGTATTTTTTCTAAGGCACTGCTTTATAGTATAAAATTGTCCAACTTAAGGTTTGTTGAGAGTTTTTAGGGCCATAAAAGGCAAAGCAGCCCTAGCCAGTTTGGCTCAGTGGATAGAGCATTGGCCTGCGGACTGAAAGGTCCCAGATTCAATTCTGGTCAAGGGCACATGCCCAGGTTTCGGGCTCGATCCCCAGTGGGGGGGCAGGAGGCAGCTGATCAATGATTCTCATCATTGATGTTTCTATCTCTCCCTCTCCCTTCCTCTCTGGAATCAATAAAAATATATATATATTTTTAACAAAGGCAAAGCAGCTACGTTTTGCCCATAATTGAGGAAGGTACCCTTTGGGTCAGTGGTTCTCAACCTTCCTAATGCCCTGACCCTTTAATACAGTTCCTCATGTTGTGGTGACCCCCGACCATAAAATTATTTTTGTTGCTACTTCATAACTGTAATGTTGCTACTGTTATGAATCGTCATGTAAATATCTGATATGCAGGATGTATTTTCATTGTTACAAATTGAACATCATTAAAGCATAGTGATTAATCACAAAAACAATATGTAATTATATGTGTTTTCCGATGGTCTTAGGCGACCCCTGTGAAAGGGTCATTCGACCCCCAAAGGGGTCACGACCCACAGGTTGAGAACCGCTGCTTTGGGCACTACAAACCAGCTATTTTGAGTGAATTTTTTACATGTATACCCACTTGGGATATATGTGTGTGTGTGTGTGTGTATACCAAGAAGCAGGTTACAGAATAAATATATGGTAAACCTCTGTTGTTGTTTTTTTATTCATTCATTAACAAGCATTTTTTTTAAGTATCTCTATTCAGTATCTAAGGTTCATACCTGTGACAAGAGGGTTAAGTCCAACAAGCAAGGTCAGCACTGCAGGAATCATATACACAACCTGTTAGCACAAAGAGAGGAAGTCACGTGGGCTAAGAAGTATGTCCAACATAGATGTTCAGAAGTATTGAAGTTAAGAAAGACATCGGTGGCCATCACAGTCCACGATTTACTGTAGGTTTCAGCGGTAACCTCTGTTTTTACGGCACTTACCATGTCAGGTTGTAATGTTATCGGCCTTCCTCCTAGATCGTAGGCAATTCCAGGAAAGGTTTATTCATTTTTGAGCTCTAGCATTGAGCAGAGGCTGGGTCTCAAGACACACTGACCTCCTAACCTCTCCCAAGCAACATCCATGCCCAAATGGCCCTTCCCCACTTGCATTAAAGAAAATTCTCTTTGACAAGTAGGGCAGGAGGAGCCATAATCAGCTAGGTGGCCCTGCTGGGTCTGGCACCATGGACCATCCAGTCCAACATTCCATCTCTGCAAGTGGGTCCACAGAAAGTTTCCTAACGGCCGATCAGATGTGCCCAACAAGACCAGGCTCTTCATCTTAGAAACCGATGATAAGTTGGTTTGCAGTTTGGAAGACTGGCCCTGAAGGGGCCCTATTCACAAGCCTCATTCATAGCAAGCAGACTAGCCAGACCTGCTACTGCACGTGTGCTGCGGGAAGAGGGCAAGTGAGGAGATGGTGGGTGTACAAGAAACGCGGTCTTTCCCAGGACAGGTAAGGAGATGGTGGGTCTATAAGAAACGTGGTCTTTCCCAGGACAGGTAAGGAGATGGTGGGTGTATAAAAACATGGGTTTTCCCAGAGACGTAGTTGCTTCACTACATTAATTGTGATCCTTACATCAGACGTTTAGTTTATTTAGAAGTTGTCAGAGCTGTACGTTGTTAAGTGATTTGCTGATACTGAAAACATGTCCATCTTGACCCTGGAGAGAGAGCGTCTATATTATACCGATTCTGGTGGTCCTTCCTACTCCCTCCCTAATGATTACCGGTGTATTAGCCAATGTGGAGTCAGGTCACCTCTCACAGGTGGGCAGCCATGCTCCTGAGGGCTAGACCAGTGCTTCCCATACTTCAATGTGCATGTGAATTACTGGAAATCGTATTAAAATGTAGGTCTGATTCTAAGTTCTGGGGTAGGGCCCAAGATTCTGCTTCTCTAATAAGCTCCCAGGGGAGGTGCTGCTGCTGTTCCAAAGACCACACTTAGAGCAGCGAGGGGTTGGTGTCCCCACTCTGCAAAACCCCATGGCTTAGCCACTGAGAGGGGGAGAAATTTAACACACACAGGCGGTACAGTATTTCTTTGTGCTTTCTGAAAGAAACGTTTGGCAGAGATTTTTAAAATGTGCACTCAAATATATCACGTTTTTGTGACTAACAGAGTAAAGTAAGATCTTATTTCAGTATATTGTTTTTTGGAGGGCAGAGAGACTAAAAATAATTGTTTTCAGTAACAAGTAAAAACAATGCACAGTGTACATAATAACTCAGTAGAACCCATCTTAACAGTCTTTTTCTGTTGGTGGATGTTTTAAACTAAGGTATCATAATATTGTTTTACAATATCTAGTTTAATTCAGCATATCGTCATTGAGTCCCTTGGCAGTCATTCCTGATACTGCCTCCCTTGTCCCCTGGCCACTGGAAGAACGGAAAAGCCTGCTTGTTTTCCCAGCCCCTTTTGGCAGCAAAAGGGTGGTCACATTCCAGCACTGAAATGGAAAGTCTAGGGGCCAAGTTGATGCTTAAAGTACTTAGCAACCAACCAAGTACTCAGCCTAGATGCTGACTAATCAGAATGGATCCCAGCCCGTAAGCCATATTTGTGTGTACAAACTAAATAGCCTTGGGAAACATTTGTTCCCGGATAAAAGGGCAGAAAGCACAGGACAAACACTCCTTTTGCTCTTGCCTTGCTGCTTCCTACATGGGATGCTCTTGTCTGGGGATGAGATGTGGGAGCCGCAGCAGCCATTCTGTAAACATGAGAGGCTAGAGCACACATTGAGGAGCAGACAAAAGAGGAAGCCCAGGCGCCTGATGATACCGTTGACCATTAAGTAGCTGCCTCTGCACTTCTTTTCAGTGAGAAATTCTGTATTTTTATAACCTGGTGCTCGTCAGGTTTTCTATTATTTTCACCTGCGTGCTTCTTGATACACGTATGCTTCATGAGTAAGATGAAGTGGGGACCATTTCATTCAAAGAGAATACTGCTGGAAGACCCCGATGTCTGTGGGAAATTCTGAGTTCACACACCCCGTACCTTATCACTCGGACCCATTCCCCCTATTTTAGGGAAAAGAGCCTAGGAAGGATTTGATTTCTAGGCTGTAAGTACACAACGTGAGGGGGTGGTGGCAAATGGACAATACTGTGTGTTCGCCGCAGTCCACAGCGCTTTCAGATGCGGGGCAGCAGCTCATACTCACCACCCAGAGTTCTGCGTCTGGATCATTCACCTGGAATCCAAAACATCAGACACACTGTCAGGTTCCAGTCTCAGTCATTTGTTACCTGGCAGACGGCAACAGGCGCCCGGTGGGCACCGAGGACACTAAACGGGAGGAAGACACGGCCGAGCGGATCAGATGGGCGCAGGGGCTTCTGGCTGAGCACAGCAGGTAGCCTGCACCTCCAGCCCACACATTTTTGTGAAGAACCGCAAAGGAACTCTGACACGGAGAGCCCCTAGGAGTATTGTTCCCGGCCGCCCGTCTCAAGGAACCAGGAGAGCATGAGGAGGGGCCTGTGGGGACACGAAGGCCTCATCAGGCTCTAAGGGTTTTGTTCCCGGGTCCTGAATTGGTTCGGTCTCATCCACTGGCCAGATACTGAGAAAGGCGCCGGCCGCTTCTGCTCAGGTCCCTACAAAGTGACACTGATCCAGCTCCTTCCGGCCTGTGAGCAAGGGAGGGGTGGGCTGCGGTCATAGGAACACTCACCCCGTGTCTTAGGTGGGGGAGGCCAGGGGGTGCCGGAAGCACAGGACCCAATGCCCGTCCTCCACCTGAGCTCAGGCCGGCCCCGCACGGAGCCTGGAGCCCGGGCCCTGTGGGACCCGCAGGCCCCTCTCCCACCGCCTTCCGCCCGCCGCCCGCCTCCGGGGCCGGGGGCTGACCTGCAGCCAGGCCG